ACCAGCAAGACCAAAGTTACAGAGTATCCACTGCATTTGACACTAGCCATACAGATTAAAACCATGGCCATCTTTCAAAAACCACCTACCAAACGACAAAGAAGCAAAAAATATTTAGTAAGTCTACACCAAAACACTGCTGTAGGACATGTAAAAATCCCATCCCACTCCAACAAGGACCTCAAGGGTTCCTGCATTTTAGGATTTACTTTTTAATGTAATACTGCAAATAATGATTTAGATTACAATTCATGTATTGGATTTCTCTTCCTACTAAATATCAAAGTGATTCATACGCTAAAACTCTTGATATACCAATGTTCAGAGAAAGATAGGTTACCTAAATCAAGAGTATGAATGACAGGGATAAGAGAACTGGCTCATCAGTAAAGAATATGAAATCTTTGGCCTATTATTTGTCCTGTCTACAAGATGTGCTGAGGTAAAGGTGCACAAATTGTGAGAGCGGCCAACTAATGACTGGTCCAGCTTGAGACGCATGCAAAGAGTGGGAGCCCACCCTTAACACAACCAGGACCTAGGGGCTGCATGCCCAGAAACCCATGATAAAACCAAACACAATTGGGGGGGGGGGGGAGACCTTTTCCTGTGGAAGCAGCCAGTCTGATTAGGAGCATGGCCTTTTCGTCTCCCTGTCATGGCTTGTGCCCATCCCCTTATATCAGTGTACTCTGAAAAGGAGGAGCCTCTCTGACAAGAATGTCACATTGCCAGCTGAGTTCAAATCTGCCAGGATGGTGTGAACTTAGCTCGCACCAACTTGAGGAAAAGCAACAGTCAGCCCTGTGCAGGCAGTCAATTAGCAGGTCATCAGACCAGTGCTGAGTCTTGGAGCACTGCCAGAGATGTGGCTCGAATTCCCAGAGTTCAAGGTGATAGGAGCCACCATTCTGGCTAGGTTGTCTTTGGAAATATGTGTCCTGGGGGCCACAAGTTTGCACCAACCAAAACCTGGTGTCATAGGCACCACCCAAAAAAATGATATGCCATCTGTTCTGCTCTGAGTGCCTCAGTCTTACCAGAGTTGATAATGTCTAAAAGTCATCATTTTGAGGAAGTTCCTGAGCTGCCTTTGGTGGCTAAAGATAAGGTTGAACGTTACAAGAAGACTAAGGAGGCTGTTCTTGAGGGAAGCTTAAGAAACTTACAGCTTGGAATGACATCAAAAAGGTCTATGCCTCTCAAAGGGCAAAATGAGAAACCGAGGACACATCCAGCGCAGGGGACCCTGCATCATCTATAATGAACATAATGGTATCATCAAGGCCTTCAGAAACATCCTCGGTATTCCTCTGCTTAATGTAAACAAGCTGAACATTTGAAACTTGCTCCTGGTGGGCATGTGGGACATTTCTATATTTGGACTGAAAGTGCTTTCCGGAAGTTAGATGAGTTGCATGGCACTTGGTGTAAGGCTGCTTCCCTTAAGAGTAACTATAACCTTCCCATGCACAAGATGATGAACACAGCTGTAGCAGAATCTTGAAAGAGCCCTCCAAGCACCACACAAGAGGATTCAGCGTAGTCTTGAAGAAGAATCCAGCAAAGAACCTGAGAATCATGTTGAAGCTGAACCCTTAGGAAAAGACTATGCACAAGAATACCTATTCTTCGCCAGGCCAGAAATCACAAACTCCTCATGAAGAAACTAGAAGCAGCAGCAGCAGCACTGGCAGCCAAGTCAGAGAAGAGGAGTGCAGAGAAGAAGCCTGCGGAAGGCAAGAAAGAAAAGAAGCCTGCAGATGTCAAGGAGCTGAAGAGGCCTGCAGGAAAGAAGGCTGCCCCAACCAAGAAGCCAGCAGCTGAGAAGAAACCTACTGCAGAAGAAAAAAAGCCTGCTGCATAGACTATTAAAATTTGTTTCATTCCATAGAGCAAATAGAGACAAGTCAATTTGAATAAAAACCTAACCAAAGAAAACACTAAAATCAATCAAATGATTCCTAATGATATTCTGCTACACTCATAGATTGGTGCCTAGCCCAGTTGTCATCAGGGAGGCTTCATCCAGCAACTGATAGAAACAGATGCAGAGACCCACAGCCAAACAAATACTGTTGATGAGGGAAAGATTGTAGGAGTTAGAAGGGTCAAGGACACCACAAGAAAACCCACAGAATCAACTAACCTGGGCCCATAGGGGTTCACAGAGACTGAACCAACTACCAGGAAGACTGCATGGCTGTGACCTAGACCCTCTACATGTATGTTTTACAGTTGTGTAGCTTGGTCTTCTTGGGGAACTCTGCACAGTGGGAGCAGGGCTGTCTCTGACTCATTTGCCTGCTTTTGGGACCCTTTTCCTCCTACTTGGTTGCCTTGTCCAGCCTTACCATGAGGGAAGTGCCAAGTTTTACTGCAACTTAATATCTCATGTTTAGTTGCTATTCACAGGAAGCCTGCCTTTTTCTGACAAGAAATGGAGGGGGAGTGAATGAGGATGGGGGGGGGGGGGGGATGAGAGGAGAGGAGGGATGGGAACTAGTTGGGATATAACATATGAGAGAATAATTTAAAAAAAAAATAATGTGTATTCCTTTTACACAGCATCCAAGTTCAGTTCCCAGCATCCCCACAACCCCAGTACTAAGGGACCTGACACCTCTGGCTCCCATACACATTTGCAGTCACATGCATATACACACGTGTAATTTTTTAAATTAAAATAAAAATGTTTTTAAAGGAACATGACTAATAGAATCCTGGCATGGTAGAAAGTGGAGGCATGAGGACAAGGAGTTCAAGGCCAGGCCTCAGCTATATACTGAATTTCAGAATAGGCTATATAAGACCCTGCCTCAAAAAAAAAAAAAAAAAAAAAGCTGAATCTGAATAATTTTTAAATTACTTAAATTCAAACTTTTAAACTACAGGAGAAAGAAATGCTTCAACAGAGAGATGTAAGTAGAGTTTGGTAATTTCAAGTAATTTGTATCTAATGTGTCAAAATTAGAAATCATTCTCATATAGCAGAAAAGAATGTTTGTTGGTTTTTTTGTTTGTTTTGTTTTTAATAGTGATTACGTGGCAATTTCTAGGATAACATAAGCAAGAAAGAAAGGACCAGAGTTCAGGAAAGCATTTTACTTTGCTCAACAGGCTGGGGCGTTGAGCTGAGGAGTTGACCAAATCAAGATCAAGTTTGGTACAAGAGTGTCCATGAGGTTTCATCTAGTTAAATGTTTAATAAAGTACTTCTAAATCTTTTGAAATTGTAAAATAGTGAAGCTGGATTACACTGCTGAGGTCCCTTCCAAATAAAAAGTCCTGCTATTCTCTGATTCATAAGGTAAAAATATCAACATGATTTCAGAACAAAAGTAAGTAAGTTATATATTATTATTAGCTTTGGGTATCACCTACTATTGGTTTTCAAGTTTGTCGAAGTATCCTGATTCAAAACGTGTTCCTCCGACCCTCGATATTAAATTGCTTCATTAAATACAGAACAAGACCATCAGGACAACAGTATATAATTCCTCTCAGTGGAAGCTGAGAAGAATCTATTCCACCTCAAAACCTGGAACGCACTATTTAAAATTCAATGTATCACTGGCGTGTGGGTTCCTACGTGAAACTCCTGTCATGGTTTAAAGCTTAAGGCAAAACAGGCTAAAATAGTTCTATTGAGTTCTACTACTGCTTTTTTTCCAGGAGCTCCTTTACCTGACCGCTAGAGTAAGCTTTAAAATCAACTCCGGGGGTGGTAACAACTGAGTCAGGCAAGCTGGGGCACAAGAGGGCCGAGGACAGCAACCCACCGCGTGTGGAAAGGTCACGTTTTCCATCCCCAAACTGTGTGATACAGGTAGAAGGAAAACAAAAAAAAAATAAAAACGTAAGCCCTTCTCTTTCTCTTTGAACTTCCCATCACAGGGCCTCAAGGCACTAACTTCAGGATCTCAAAGCTTACTTATCTAATGAGGCGTGGTTCTGAGAAGACTAAAAGTTGCTCTTGACCCGCGGAGTGGCAGGAGGGGTGCAGGCACTGCCTACCGCGACACCGAGAGTTAAACTAATACATTAATGCAACTTTGCTGTCGTCCCGTTCGCAGCAAAAACTTATTATTAACTCCTAGAACCCTTCCTCGCCAAAGAACGTCCGGAGACGGGCGGGACCCTGCGGAAACCTCAGGCCTACGCCGAGTCCTCTAAGGCGGGGGCCGGGAGAAGGAGAGCGACACGTCGGGAATCGCCGCCCGCGGTGGGGACGCAGGGATCGCGACTAGGAGGGCGCAGGCCTGGGCCACGCCGCGCCAGCGCCCGGGGAAGGCCGGCCGGGCGTGCGCCGGGCCTCGGTCCGCCCCGGCCTCCGCGCCGGGGGAACGCATCGCCGGGGACCTCCGCGCGCCAGCCCGGGCGAGCCCGCAGGAGGCCGCGCTCGCGCCCGGGAAGCGCGGCCTCCGGCCCCGCCTTCCTCGCCCCGTCTCCTTACGGCCGCCGAGGGCCCCGCTGGGAACTCCGCGCCGCGCGGCCCCGCGAGGCGGGCGCCGGGCGGGAAGGAGGGAGGGAGGGAGGAAGGGAGGGAGGGGCCGCGCTCCCCGCCTCCCGCGGCCAGCGCAGCTTCCCAGCCCAGGCGACTCACCTCCTCCTCCTCCTCCTCCTCCTCCTCCTCCTCCTCCTCCTCCACGGCTCCCTCCAGGCCACCGACGGCCCAGCTGGCGACGCGCTGACGCCGGGCCCCTCCCCCGCGGCCGCCACCGAGGCCGCAGCCCCGCCCCGCGGCGGCTCCCGCGGCCTTGGGACGCGTCGGGCGCCGGACACGCCCCTCGCCACGCCCACGAGCGTGAGGCCCCGCCCCCTCCCGGCCGGCGGCCTCCACGCGGAGTCCCTGACTCAGAGGCCGCGCGGCGCGGTGCGGCGCGGCTTCTCGCACCTGCTCGCCGCCCACGGGCCGTCCCCACCACCACCACCCCGTACGCTTTCCAGTCACGCCAGCGCCCCCGCCGCCCCTTCGGCTTTTCCGCACGCTCTCACACCTCTGGTCGCTGCCTCCGCCCGCGCTGCGGCCTCCTCTTCCTAGCCAGAGGTGTGTGGTCTCACCGGGTCGCGCGTTCGCAGGCAGGTTTCCAGCCGGCACCTGTGGTCCCCTCCCCTAGTCCTTCCGGGCGCGCCCAAGCCTCAGGTACCCCGCTTGGCCAGGGCCCACCCTCCTGCGGGTATTGGCCAGCACGTCCTGCTTTCCCTCCCTCGGCACTCCTGGCAGATCTCTTGCTAGCCAAAGCCGGCTTTTCTGTCTACGTAAGTCATGTGCGGCCTTTTGGGTTGTCGATATTACATGAACTTCAGATGCATCATGAGTATTCGTAATAACACCTTCGCAGTCCTAATCGCAAGAACAGTTACAGAGCAATTGAAAGTCAGAAAGAGCCCAAGAAACTCTTAAAGGTCGCTGTAAAATGAGGTATTTGTCTCATTTTATATGATCTGTATGATATATCACATTTCTGTGATTCTGAATTAATGACTTTGTACTTGAGATCACGTTGTGGATTAAATGATTCAGGCAAAAGCAAAACATGCAATGGTAGGTATATGCTTTTATCTGGTAACTTCATTTTTAAAGCTACAACTTGGAACAGACTGTAGTACAGAAATGCGTTAAGCATACCAAAACAACAGAAACTGATTAGGCCTTTGGAGTTATATCCAAGAGTTGCTCAAAGTTATGTGAGTAAACATTATTATCCTTAAATTGAACAGTGAAAATGATCTTCTCTTCTAGACAAAGCCCACACTCTATGCGGACCTCCAAAGCTTAAAACCATTCTTGAATTGAACAACAGTATCACAAGCATTTTAAAGACCTAATAAACCATCTGTCCGTCCACTTTTACACAAATTGGGAAACAGAAAAGAGTGAATGCAGAAAGCTGAAAATGAGAATTCCTGACTGCAAATGAATCTAGTAAACCCTGTTTCACAGAACAAAATATTAGGAAAACCCCAAAGCTGAGGTTTATCAATCTGGAAGAAGGATCATAATTTTGTAAATGAATCAGCTTCTCAAGATCACCTGGAGTCTTTTTTTTTTTTCATTTTGCTGATTAAGATCTGAAGCCCAGAGAAGATAAGTTGCCTAACCTATATATGCAGCCTAACTGGAATAAAATTGGATTCATACTCAGACCTGTCTCATGTACTTGTCAGCATAGGATTTAGAACTACAAATATAAAGCTACTCAACACCAGAACTCTTTGACATCGCAGCTCTGCCTCAGTATACATGATCTGTGAGTTTGAGGTTAGGTATTGCTGTTAGAAGCCTTCTCACCCTATTATGTTCAAGGACTCCTGTTGTGCAACCTGCATCTCAGTCAGGGATCATCTGCATGATCTCAGTCACTTCTGGCCTGGGCTCTGGAACCATGATCCAACCAAACACATTCATCCTCAGAGGTGCCAAAGGCTGTGCCTGATTAAAAGAGTTATGAAATCTCTATTGTCAAGAAAATTACAACATTATTGGTGGGGTAAAATATGAGGCATGAAATGATAATTCAACACTAATAATCAAGAATTCAACAGTAATCCAAACGTTAAGTGGGAAAATGATACACATAAATTAGGAAAAGACTTCTAAAGGCCACAACAACAAAAAGATCCGTTGTTTAGGGCACTGTATGCAGGAGAGAAAGTAAAGCAAAATGCTTGAACAAAAGCACTAAGAAAACAGGCACACCACGAATGGTGGAAAGTAAGATCAGGGAAGTGAAGCAGGAAACCTGAGAAGCAAAAGCAAGCTAGGCCAAAATGTAAGGACCTAGATTTCAACGTGAGACATAGTTTAGTGGGAAATCATTGTGGGCACGCTGGGCAGGGGAGAAAGAGTGGGGAAAGACATGAAAAACATCAGAAGTCCATAACCTTCTTAGGTATGTTGGACATCAGAGCTTCTTACATAAGAAAACACAAAAAGTAAGTCCGAGGTGATTTGGGAATTGTGGCAAAAGTCAACTGGAGCCAGGTCCTTAACAGTGCTCATAGGAACAGCCTGCAAACTCCTGGATAAGGAAGCAAGATAGCTTCCCAAGGGAAATCCTCCACATCTTATTTTCATTCCACAAAGCTAGTTTGAAACTCAAATAGAATTAGAAGATAGGCCCTGTCCCTGGGCCTCATTCTTGTATTTTTATAGTTTCTAATTCAGCCATAGTGATATAAGTGTTTTCTATAGTCAAGTATATGTTACAGTAGAAAATAAAATTTAAAAAGTGATTGTTAAATATATATAAAATATTGCTTTGACTCTACCTTTCAGTAGCTTGTGATCTACTTGGTGAAGAAAGGACAATGTACTTAACATCATATGAAATACAATCCATGGACAGGGAGAGCAACCTTGTGTACAGCAAGATGAAGTAATACAGAAATTGTGAGGGATATAGCTGAGTAGACTGGAAATGATATGATCTATAGAGTCATCATTCAACAAATTTCAGTGAACTTTGCACAGTGTTCTAGATACTAAAGACAAAGCAATAAAACAAACAGTTCCTGTTCTCACTGAGACCCAAAAGGAGTCATGTCTCATGTGTTCAAGACTCTTACGAAAAGCAAGGACATCTAGAATAAGAAACTGGGAAAAGCGTGAAGGAATGAAGCAAAGGAGATATTAAAGCCTTAAGTGTGGAAGGGCTTTTGAGGTCAGGTTAAAGTAAGGACATTGGAAGATTAGTCCCTCTGGGATTGCAAATTTGAAGGACAGATGGAGACCTGTAAAAGCAGATGCAAGCCTTCATGATAATACAGGCAGGAGATAAGAAGTAGACAAGGTTGCTGGCAAGGTTAGCAAAGAAGATGAAAATGTCAAGACTAAATAGTGGGTAGGTGGTGTTAGTTGCAGAAAATCTATAGCATCACATGCAGCAGAAAGGTCGAAGAGATAAGCATTAAGAAAAGGCCAATCTGGTTAACAACAAAGATGTCATGTGTGACGTCAAAGAGAAACGTCTCTGAAGAATCAGATGTGAAAAAAAGGCAATGAATGCTGACTAAAATAACCAGCACAATTCACAATGTGCAAAGCATGAATGTATTTTCTTTACCTTTGGGACACTATTGAATTTTAGATACATTTAAGTTTCCCTATCTGTGCCTCCATATTTAAGGAAGAATAAATATCTTCAGATTCTATAAGATTTACTTTTATAGCTCAAAACTCAGTCACATAAATGACTCCCAGAACATTCACTCTTCTCTTGAAATATGGCAATGACTTAGCAGCTCTTTTACCTGTTATGCCTAAACCAGGTAGGCAGTGAATATGGCCTTGGACACATCATACATTCGCACTGAACTCCAGGTTTTTACTATTAAAGAAGAGAAATCTCAGACTGAGGTATAGAGGCAGAAGGCAAGCCTTTCTACAAAGACAAAAGCAAAGTATCCTGTGAAGTGTGCAGGAGCAGCTACCATGACTTCAAGTGGCACTTTTGCCATCTGCAGGAAGATAGCTCAGCTGAACCAGATGCCCTTTTGTTTAGCACACTGCAAGACAATTGAGTAGTTTTCTTCCCTGGAAGTAGATTAGAAAATTTGGCAGACAAAGTAGAGGGAGAAACCTGAAGCCATCTATTTGAAGTGATGTAGCCTTGAGCTTCCAAGGATAAGCAAGCCAGACGTTGGCCAAATTTGTGTCCATACATGTATGTGCATGCCTCCTCCTAATTGTATTATGTTGGTGAGTAGAGTATGTTAATTTGTTATGTGTTATTGAAAGATGGCTTGCTATTATCACTCTTTTTCAGTTGGAATATACTTCATTTGGGGGTTTGCTGGGAGCACCTAATCTCTTGTGGTGGTTTGGAAAGCTGCATTAAATTCATTGAAGAAAAAAAAATATGTGAAAATTATTCTAAAAATAATCATGAAATTTACTATGTTTAGTTTGCCGGCCTAAATGTTCCTCAAGTCAGTAGTGACCACAGATTCTTAGCATTAATAAACAGTTACCATATTGCTGAAATTAACACCATATTTAGTCCTAGAAATCTTGTTATTGGTGCTGAGAGAGGCCAGAAATACCAGTAGCCTAGGAAGGATAAAATATATTCTTTGTTGGTAAAATATCTTTAATTGGGACTTAGCTATTCCACATTACAGTACAAAGGAACCTGGTTTATCATTATTACCTCCTGGCCTACAGTTAGAAGCATTTCACACTGTGCTTCATCCTGTACCTTTTATCAAGGATAAATTTTCATGTTTTTCCTTAAAAACAAAGAAAGCTTACATAATCTCACCTCATGACTAGCCTTTCCAGTAATTATCTGTTGCTTAGAATCAGTGTCAGCCAACCAAGTTCAGATGGGGGAACATGTTTGATCTGCTGTGATGTGATTTAGAAGACTGCGTACATAGAAGGTACAGCTATGCACATACAGAGAACATATTGATCTAATTTGACTGCCAGTGATTTAATTAATGTTTTTCAAGCACTTTGAACATGAAAAGCACTATCTGAAAGCTGAGAGCCATTACTCATACTCATTTTTCTTAGAATTAATGTACAAATGTGATACTCGTATGGTAACTTTGAGAGACAGGCTCTATTTTAATAAAATCTTTGGGCCACGCTTTAAGAAACTCATTAAAACTTGAAGACTCTAGTTTCTGAAAGTCAACCTTCAAGCTGCTTGAGTATCATCCATCAGTAGATGCTGAGGCACACAGGCTAAATAAACAACAGTGACAGCTTGGGGAAGGATACGCACCTGTTTATTCAGAAGATGTTAGCAAGGGCAAGCCTAAAATAAAAACACACGCCACAACCTGATTTTCACTTTTTTGTGCATGCATTCAACCTAAAATTACCCATATTATCATCAAGTTCTTTTTTCTAACTTTTTCCTCTCTAAGAAATAACTACTAATGAGCATGATACTTTGGTAATAATCTAAAAAGAAGAGAAAAGTGGACACTTTTTAATGCTTTAACAAGTAAACATAACATTTTTAATTATTGCTTTTTCCTTAAGTTAGGTTTAAGAACAATTGGCAAAAGAGAAAGAAATTTTGAGCTGAAAAATAAGTAGTTTGAAAAAAAAAAAGGACTTCATCTAAAAAATAGCAGTTTTAGCAGTATTCT